AACAAGGGGTAATGTTACAGTTATGTACACCCCTATTCATTTTCTCCTATTTTCACATGTATTACGTCATGAGCCGCATGATGTGCCCACTAGACTTATCTCTGACTCATATCTTGTATTACATCACAACCTACAGTCACCATTGCTAGATGACCTATTCTTGCTATCACTTATGCATTTCTTATCTCTGACTCACTTTGTTCTCACACTTGCCCTAAAGCACAGTAGCCCACTATAAATAGTTCTCTTGTATGCTTTAGTTTCTTTACTTTAATCTTACTAGGTTTTACCTGGAACATCTTTCACTTAGGACCTCCAATCCTAAGTCGTCTGAACCAATATTCAAGTCAAAGACACTCTCTTTGCCTTGTCTTACAACCCTTGCATTTGCAAGGTCTTGATTGTGACATCAGCCGTTGCTCTTATCAAGCTGCTGTTGTTACAACTATCCTAGTTTGTAACATTGGCTGAATTTGCATACAACAATGCTCTAAGTGCTACCACTGGAGTCTCACCCTTCTTTGCCAACAAGGGATACCATCCAAACATATCCATCCACCCAGAATGTGACCTTTCCTCCATCCATGCACAGGAATATGCCATAGACCTCAATGAGCTTCACCAATTCCTCCAAGAAGAAATGACCCACACACAAGAACATTATCAAGGACCTGCGGACACAAGGCGGATACCAGCCCCAGACTTCAAGGTTGGAGATCAAGTCTTTGTCAAAGCAAAGTACTTCCATTCCACTTGCCCTTCCAAGAAGCTCTCAGAAAAGAACTTAGGTCCTTTTGACATTATATCCTGTCCCAGATCGCATTCCTTTACCATCCGACTCCCAGATTCCATGCATTCAGTACATCTGGTCTTCCATGTCTCCCAACTGGAACCCACAGTTCCAAACACCATCCCTAATCATATCCAACCACCCCCACCTCCAATAGAAGTCAATGGAGAACCAGAATATGAGATATCCGAAATCCTAGACTCTAAGTTGGACCACTGGAGACGACAATGTCAGCTTCTCTACCTCATCTGATGGTCCAGATATGAAGGTATGGATAAAGAGATGTCCTGGTTACTAGCCACAGAACTTGGAAATGCATTAGACCTAGTTTCAGTATTTCACTCTTCATATCCAGACAAACCCGGTCCAATTGCATTACAATGAGTACAAAATCAGATACAAGTACATTAGGGGCAGAAGCAGAAATCTGGAGCTCCTCATCCATCAGTCTCCATGTCCCCTCCAGATCCTCCAGCCTCCTCCTCAACATCCTTGTCAACATCATCTGGAGTAGAGGCATCTGCAATCTGGAATCTGTTCCAGATTCCCTCCAGGAGGATGGACTGGAAGTCCCTCTGCTGCTGGATGAAGTCCTCCATGTTAGTATTCATCCACTCCATCACCAACCTACTCCCTTCCACAGCTCCAATACTCTCCTGGAGAAGCCCATTGGTCTGGGCCAGTTCCACTACTATGCTGTTGGCAGCAGCAACCCAGGCCTGGTTATCATACTCCACACTCCCCTCATCCATCTCTATTCTGGTCCACAGATTGGAGGCTTCCTCCACTTCTGGTTCCTCAGGGGTAGGGCTCCTCTGACATCTCTTACCCTTGGATTTCAGAGATGGAGTCACCACAGCATGCTGCCTCTTCCATCTCAGTTCCCTGGGCTTATCCGCACTTCTGGGACAGGAGGCCCTATCAACCCTACAGACATCACAAGACTTGATCTATCCAGATATCAGTACACCCAGTTCTGGATATCCGAGGCAAGGAATATCTCACCAGTGCATTAGACTTAGCATCCTCCCAGGAGCACTTCTTACTCTTACTGACACAACAAGTGCAGGGAGCATCCTGAGCTCTGGACATAGAAGTGGACTGGGACTAGCATACCCCTCAGTTCCAGATCTGATAGAGTTAGCATCACTCACCCTCCTGGCCACCTCAGCCCTCCACCTCTTCTCTTCCTGCACTATCTGGAGCTTGGACTGCTCTATCCACTTCCTCTCCTCCTCACATTTCCGTTCCACTTCCTGACACATCTGCTCTGCTTCCTGATGTTTCCGCTCCTCTTCCTCTTCCTCTCTCTGAGCTGCAGCCTCCACAAGTGCCATCCGGTGCTGAAGTTCCACAAGAGTCTCCTTAGCAGATTTCTGACCACTGGATTTGTTGCCAGACATGATATTCAAAGCTAGTATGAGTGGGTAAAGTGAGGAAAGAAAGGAAGACCTAGGATGCTTTGACATCCGTATATCTGTGGAAACTAGAACTCACAAACTCCATCCATCAGCTTCTCCATTGATTCTCACCCTCATATCGTCCAGTCCAGATCATCAGATCTTGTGCCTCTAGGGATCAGCCCTAAAGGGGGGATACTGTCATATCTGCACATCCAGATCTCAGATCCAACCCTTATCTCATCTCAGATCCACATCTTATCTCCAATCCTATCCACATCTTATCTCCCTCCAACATCTCATCATTCAATCTGTCCACTCATCTGGTCCGGTCCACAACTCATCCAAATCCACAACCAGCGCTTGTCTCCTTTGAGTAACCCCCTAACTCCAGTATTTCAGTTATCTGTATATCTGTCCTGCTCCCTGATCTGTTACCTATGTTTCATTTCTGTTTCATGATTCATGATCCATTTCCACTTACCAATAGACTACCCATATGCTTTGTACATAGCCTCGGACTCTGCTGATTGATCATTCTGTTAGATACCTATAGTATATAACCTCCTGTAACTCTCTGTAGCACCTCAGTTCAAATATCATCTTAGTTCTACTCATTCCTGTCCTCTGGACTTGAGTATCTCTACTCTCATCACCCTCCAAGACTTAGGATTGATTCCTATAGTCTATCCGTATCCGCCTTTGTCTCCAACAGTCTATTACCATTAGTTTCTAGTCTGGACTCGTCCGGATTAGCCCTACGATACCTATCCTGCATCCAGAAGTCATCCAGATCCATTATGATACTCATCTGACCTTCCAGATGCATTAGTCTTGCCTTCCTGAAATAAGGGGCAATACTTGGGTAAGGGGCACAGCGCACAAGCTGAGGCTGAAGCCCTTCAGATCCAGTTATCCCTTGAGTACAACCTTAACAACTGCTGACCATCCTTAAAATCTTAACCATCATTTGGACTGTCATTCAGAATTGCTCCACTTGCTTCCATCCACTGGTCCTCAACCTCCAGTACTCCTCATAATCAACAGGTTGTACTGTTGCTTTGACTTATTTCATTCACTCTCCATGAAGTTAAGTTGTGAAGACCATTTGACAAATCTCACCTGTCACCCACCACAAGTGCTTCTAACATTCCAGGTACTTTCTCCAAGATGCCATCTGCATCTCCAGGCATCTCATGCCATCATCATTGCCAATTCTGATACCAGGCTGATGACTCCACCTGTTCCCTTGCAATATGCATGCAGGCATGGAAGCAGGTGCAGGCATGGTGGATATGGGTACCACATTGGTACAAGTATTCATATCAACACCCCTTGGTGAGTGCCACTTCCAAAGCTGCATTGAGCATTAAACTCATGTTTTACATATAGCTCTGCTGCAGTCCTTGTTTAGGATTCTTTGACCACATCAGAGAAGTTGGTCTCAGGCCCAGAAAGATATCATCTGAGAGGCTGGAGCTGGAGGTCACTTTTGACTGCCCAGAGCATCCCAACCATTTGGATATTACAATTATTTCTGACATAATGTACCCATGTCACCACTGAGTCCTCTTCCACTTGTACTCCAATATTTAAAAAACTCTGATACTTCTCCCCACTTGCACTTGTCCACCAGGTCTATACTGACTTATTGTGTGTGTATTGCCACACCAGGTAATGAATTTGGACCATGAGCAGGCTACAATTGAGTAATGGGCAGGCAATGGGCAGGCAATCAGTGGGTGATGATTGGACAATTTATTTCATCTGCACACAAAACTTGAAGTTTTGTCATGACATTTTGTTGCCAGCATAAACTTGAAATTTTGAGGGATGTCTAATTGTCAGGCAAAACTTGATATATTGGCAAGCATATTGTCCCATCTAAATTTCAAGTTTTGTCCAAAGTTTTACATGAAGATTAAACTTTAAATTGAAGCAGGCATATGGAATCTGATCATATTTCTTATATTTGTTGACGTATTGTCCATGGGAATATGGTTGCAGATGCTTGATATTTTGGATTACACATAAAACACAGGCAAATTTTCAAGTTGTGTACCTATTTTTAAGTTAGTTTAAATTTCAAATATTTTCTTTGCATTGTGTACAACATATAAACCTCTCCTAAATATCAATAACCCCGATGTGTCACGTGCACGGTGGGCAAGTCTGTTACATAATAATGATTGATCAACTTGCTTTGATCAAGGAAGTTTTATCAGCTCGAGCTACTTCATTATTATGATTGTGTGGACTAATGTTCTGCTATTTCAGAGACTCAACCGGAGTCCACAAGCAGATTCTGCAACAAAGTGGCAATCCCATCATGTATAAGTGCCTTTGAACCATTAATGCGTCGTGAATAACTTTCATATGTCGGTACATTGCTGACCGCGAGACTGACTGCTGACGCTGGTGGCCGACTATGGCATACCTACCGTTACCAAGGAAGGGGAAATGCCAACGAGCTTCAAAGGGATGCGAACCTTATAATATGGCCACAAGCTACTTGTCATTTTTTTCCTCTGGCTACCATCGATAATCAGTCGTCCACATTATCGGAAAAGTATAATACGTTATCTATCTATTGGCATGTTCATGGACCACAACTTACCTTGTCGCGGAGTCCGAAACTCCTCAGGAAATCCATTGATCCACACACGGAGTATGACTTGTGGACATTCCCACTCTCAGAACGTCCACAGCTGGAGCCGTTAAAGGTTGCACTCTCATATGAGCGCGATGTTCCAAGACCACAACACAACACCTCAAAATACTTTGTCCGCGCCCAACTACCTTCAAGAAATATGTTCTCTAAGTCGCCATACCGTCATATCCCCTTCTTCCCGCAAACACCTGCTGGATTCAGGATGTTGAACCCCTCGAAGAAGCCTTACTTTCGTCCCTCCATTTTTTCGCGTCACCCTTCACCGTGCGTCGACTCTCCTTCGAGCAGCCCCACCTGCGAGCCAGATGTACCTGCATTCTTTGATTGCAATGCACCTCCTACACAGGGCCTTCCGCACATTTTCCAGCCCGCCTCAGCCAACACCGCCCGTGTAGGTCGTCCACCCACGAAGGCTGCTGTTCCAAAGCCAAAGGTCTTTAAGAAGAGCGTGCCCACCAAGGCTTTCCCCAGTCAAATCATCCACCCGCGCCGCAAACTCTGGCACAAGCGCTTCACTTACCATCTCACGGTCACTCGTCCAGACCTCTGTCGCAAAGGCCCCCGGTTCTGCAACCCAGCAAAGCTCAGGCGCGAAAAAGCAGCAGCTGCTCCCAATAACCTCGAAAATGTCGCTCTCAAGACTATGCAAACCGGTGGTATGACTGCCGAAGATCGTATTTTCCTCAAGCAGCTTGAAGAGCTCCGCCTCGATCAGCTACGCAGGCACATGCTTGGAGATGCTAGAGAGGTCGTCGCACACGCTGAAGCGTTGGGTTCGCAACGTGAGTTGGAGCACGCGGAGCGCAACCGCCAAGCTGCCCTCCGATTGGAAGAGAACGCACAGAGGAAGAAGGAAGAGGAAGAATTTCGCCGTTTGGAGGAGCTGCGCCGTTTGGAGGAGGAACGTCGGTGGCTGGAGGAAGAGAAGCGTAGACAAGAGGAGGGCAGGCGCAGACAAGAAGAAGCTAGGCGTCATGCAGAGGAACGGGCGCGCCTTCGTGAGCAGCGCGAGCGCGAGCTCCAGGCCAAACGAGAGGCATTCCGTAAAGCTCAGGAGGAAGCTGAACATCGGGCCCGTGTGCAAGCAGAGCAGCACCTTCGTGAAGAAGCTCGTTGGCAGGAGAGGCAGCGCCAAGAAGCACTTCATCGCAACAAAGCTCGGGCGGGTCTCGTCGCTTTTTTCCAGCTCTACGACACAAAGTGGAAAGAGCTCAAACTGAGCCAGAAGTTGACCTCAGTTATGCTCTGCGAGATGCCGTGGCCGACCTTCCAGCAAGGCTGCGCATCCCCCGATGACATCTCTCGCCGTAGCATGGAGGAATTCATCTTCCACCCCCTCCGCCCAGGGATGGAGACCAAGTCGCGCAAGGACCGACTGAAGGTAGAGATACTTAGATTCCACCCCAACAAGTTTAACTCGAACATCGTGCGCAAGTTACGGGAGTGCGATAGGGAAAGGGCGAGCAAGATTGCGGGAGCACTGGCCAGAATACTGACAAACATGATGGCTGAAGAGATTCAGAAAGAGACGGATCAATAAGCCAATATATACTGGAATTCTGCTGCAGTCGTTAGTAATTTTATGGCAATTAGGATATGTCCAATATGCAATCATATGACTCTATCAAACCGTGTTTAACTTTGCAAGCAACACGCCCGTATCAACAAGAGCGACTCTGCGTGTTCACATTACTGACAGAACTACACACATACAAGTAAAAATAGTTGAGCCTTGTAAAATTACTTTTCCAATGGCACTCACCTTTCCACATCCTTCTTGGCCACATACACAAGTAAATCACAGACGCGTTTCAAGTATGCCCAGTCATTGGCATAGTATGTGACCAACTTGAAGGAACGGTCAAGGACCATGAACTGAAGTGAAGCCCAGGATAGTAGATGGCCGACTCGGTACGCTCAAGCAAGTTTGTAGACGCGAGAATATTATCAGAGACAGACAAGGTGCCCTTGAGCGGACCCTCTTCGGCTTCCTTCATGGCAGCCGTAATAGCATGGTAAGTTGTAGTGCGTTTGAGCTTCACGACAAGGTCGATGACGGACGCATTTACAACTGGAATACGAAATTCAAGATCACTACAAAAAAATTTAGGGCCAGACCGGCAGATCGAAAGAAAATGATGACACACGTGAACTTGTCATCCAACGAGGGGATTATCATTCTGACAACCTCCGCCACTTCAGTGTAGGTTGGGATGATATTGTTAGCGACGGATTTATTATCAGTGACGTCGACCGCACGAATACTGGACATGAAGACTTCTTCGATGCTAAATTTATCGTGAACGAGCTTGGCGATAGGGGCAATGCAATTGATAGTGCTCGAGGCACTAGAAATGATGGTATACTCGGGTTTGTACGTATCGAGATTGACGCCACAGACAAACGTGGGCGCATCAGATATTGCAGTAATGATGACTTTTTTTGGCACCACCTATTAAATGGGCGGCTGCCCTAGTAAGTCATCAGTATCAGTATCAACTCAAATTTTTGACAGAGCTTACTTGGCTCTCGTGGTGAAAGACCCCTGTTCAACTTTGCTCAAGAGACTAGCTTAAATTCGTATGTGCAACACTTACACTCGATGCGATGATATAGTCAGCACCAACCGATCCCCAGTTGATGTCCTCTGGTTTTATTTTACTGAATACGTGGATGGGCTTGTTGTTGATGTGGAGCTTGCCATCCTTACCCGCATGAACATCTCCCTTGAAGTTACCGTGAACAGGGATAGACCTGAACTTGGTTACCTGTGGTCGTAATGAAATAGGGGCTACCCCTTATGCGCTCGGAAACGAAACCAACCATTCCATCCACCTTTAACATGGAGCTGTGAGCGCGGATAAAGATTAGACGGACAGAAGTGACTGATAACAGAGATGTACTAACTCGTTGATGGCAACGACTTCGATGTCCTGGTACAGGACCGCATGACACATACAGATACGACCCATACGACCTGTAAACGCGATTGTTCGTCAGAAACATGCTATTCAACGCCATACAGAGCAAAGGTACTGACCAAATCTGAAAACAGACAGGAAATATGCGTTGTTCACTGTTACTCCTCTCTAACAACCTACCCGTTGATGCCTATTTTGACCTGCAATTACAACCAACGTAATCAACTTGTCGCTCGACCCGAAGGAGAACAGGCTCTACTCACCATTTTGCTGGTTGAGTGTGGTACTAATGGAATGACGAATGCGAGAGGAGGGGGAAGACATAACAGGTTGTCTATGAGACACCTCCCATATCATATTTTCCGGGTATGGTCCACCAACGTCATCGCCGGTCACCTCCATTCATACTACGCAGCGGCATCATGAAGAGCAAAACGTTTAGGTGTGCTCATGCCATCTACCTTAGACGAAGTGGGCTGTGTTCCCCGAGCTGGCGGCATGTCAACCACATTACTTACATCCCTCATCATGCGCATCAGGCATGAGACGATATCTGACCTACGATCCATCACTGAGGCTTCGACGACAAAATCATATTCGGTGAGCATATTTAAAGCGCCAAGTCGAAAAAAAAATCTCAACCACAAATCACAACACTGAACGGCACCGTAACAATGACACGGGGATACAGTGCAGCCTGAATAGAGAACATCAGCAACAGGATTGCCTGTTTATTGGCCTTGAACAATGGATATCGGCGGAGACGACGGCAGTGACGTTAGGATGCTCGACCCAAGAATGAGTGAGTCTACGCTGTTCACAACAAGTATGTCATTGTGTTCTGAATGCTGACAATAATTTATCATCACTATGCCAGGCGACGATGTCCCTGTTAGCATCTCGGATTGGAAGTAGTGCTAGGCAGTCCCAGCTATCAATGACTCAGACAAAGTGAGTTGAGGACGACTGGTGCAGTATCGTTTCGTACCTCAGCGAGCCTCTTTATTTTATGTTTCACCAGTCCCCCCTAGTCGCACAGTCGTTTTTTTCTAGTGTATGATGTCTGACAGACTTGAAGTGCTCAAACAGTCAAACAGCCAGTGGCCTCCATTGGATGGTTCAGACCAACAGAGTTTAACGCTCTTAGAAAGGCTCGAGGGCTCAACGTTGCTAACTGCCAATCGTTTACCTAATAAGGGACTCAAGAACCACCTTCCTTTCAAGTCGGTTTGCATATAACAGCGCAGAATATAAAGCTGCAAGCAACCCCATTTACATTGAGACTCTCACAAGCTAGTGATAGATACTTGCATGCGCAGAATTCAAGCACTTCATCATCTTCTACATATTACAGATTTGGACAAGGCATTCATGAAAAAACCCGGCTCAACATCTCTGCAAATCTTCTGGTCTGTTTAGCAATCTTCCCTCCATCCCACCTTCAACCATCACTACTTGACCAGTGACATGACCGGAGAGAGTGGATGATGCAAGGACCACAATCTGCGTCGCGACGTCGATCAGCATCGCCACCTTCTTAAGCGGACTCCTGCGGTGGCACGAAATTCAATATCGATCATAAATCATGATGGTGTGACTGACGTAGCCAATACACGATACACTGCCTGAGGATCCTTCAAGGTTTTTTCAGTCCTGGGTGTCTTGACCCAGCCAGGCGCAATACAGTTGACTCTGCCTTTGGGGGCTATCTTCACGATTTCATTCTTGAGAGTGAGGTTCAAACCGTACATCATTACTACAACATGATGAGTCTTTGTCAGACTGCGGTCAGAATCGCTACTGACCGCTCTTCGTCGCAGAGTAGTCGCCGTGATTAGCTTCGCCATACTTCCCAGCAGTACTTCCGATAAGCACAATCGCCGCCTTTTCCTTGATAGTAGAGGATGCACGTTCAAGGTGCTTCAAATACTCTCTACACACCAGGAATGATGACGTCAAGTTCGTAGTTATGGTGGTGTTCCATCGGAACAACGTCATCCTTGCGATTGGAACATCTGAAGTCGGATATATAGCGTGGTTAACGATCACCACTTGTACGGGTCCATGGGGCATAGCAGCTAGCAACTCGAACATATCCATCACAGCCTCTTCTTGAGACAGATTGGCCTGGACATGTTGAAGATTGGGGTTCGATGCCAGAAGTTCCTGGATCGGACCAAATTTGGAGTTATAATGTGCGGTCACATTCGCGCCCAATGCTGAATGTCTGATTCAACTCAATAGTCGTCACTCGAGAGTAAATTACTTACCACAAAATAATTTCACAGTCTCTAGCCCGATACTGCCACTTGCCCCTGCTCGAGTACTATCAGGTCAGCAGTGCCATAGGATACTACAGAATACGATTCAGACCTGTAACAATGACATGCACTCCTTTCAGTCCAAGATCCATGACGTGCTGTTGTGGTCAGTGATGCTGACCGTTAACTTGGATATAACCAAACGATAACAGACGATAACGGCCTCAATAGTCAATTGAGATGTCGAGGTGTGAAAAATTCAATAGTATTCATCATGATGTAGCTGGTGTTATTGGACAGGTGACCCGCCGATTGTAAATAGCTTCAAGTGTGTGTTATACATATGGGCGCTTCAAGTTAAAAAACGTCTGTGGCACACGAGTCACTGACACGTGACATAACTTATAAGTGTCACCTGCACTAGTTGCTAGTCATTTTCGATCCCGTCGTCACATCGCGAAGAAAATGTCTGATATTCTCGACCAGCAGCTTCGCTAGCGTGTCTCCTTGTTAGATTGCAATCCTAAAGACACTCGATCTGCAGGTAAAAAGGCGAGTCACCAGTACTCAGGCGTTCATATGATCTGCCACTCATTTATACAGTAGAGATGGTCGGAGAACTCATATCTGCCAGTGGCCGACTTACTATTCACGGGCATCTTCATATCTTGATGCTCGTCGCTCGCTGATGAACTTGGCGTGTGTGTTATTGAAATGCGGCGCCTGCAATACAGTATGTACAGCAGACCATCTAGCAAGTCTCTTCATCAGCTCCACCGCCTCTTGTCGTTCTCGACTACTATCATGCTGGGCGATGTGATCGAGTCAAAAGCGCTAGCAAAACAGAGAGATGAAGAACGAGGGACGTGGTTAGGCTCACGGTTGCTTCATGAACCTTTTCGGACGAGGGAAACAAAATCGTCACGCTATGGTGCACATTATTGCCAGGATGCACTTTGGGAGGGTGAGTACCTGCATTGTGATACCTACTAAGTAACTTAACAAGAAGCAGGCGGAAACGAGGCGCTTCCTCCTCAATGGTGGTAGTATAAGACGTGGGATGAGAATGTACAATATTACGATGACACACTCAATGGCTTCAAAGAACCGACCTTTACCGGGAGTATGATTATGTGAGCAAAGAATGTGACATTAGGAACGAAGAACTCATATTTGAACATAGATGACCCCTTGCAACTCAATGTCCCCAGATGTGAATGGGATATCTCACCACTCGGTCAGTCGTACTTTATCGATCACAATACTCGGACCACGTCTTGGAAGAAACCGGCACTACAACGCCCACCAGGGAGCTTGATGGCGGGGTGTGTTGAGAATCATTCCCTGTCTAGGCATCAGTAGCAATATAATGAACACATCGGATCATGGTTCAATTCGTCAGTGGACAAGAGACGGAGAGCCAGCAGGAAAGCCTCTGGACAGCCATGAGGAACAGATGGGCTCAATGATGATATGTGGAAGCCCAGACGGGAGACTACTGCTGTGGAATATAAAGGGAGGTAGCATAGTCGGCGACCCATGGAAGGGGCACAATGCTGCAGTGAGATGCGTCGATTGGTGTCCCAACGCCACGGGGATAGCAAGTGGATCGCAGGATGGCGCCATGCAACACTGGAATCCGACTACTGGCCAACAAATAGCCACACCAATAGAAATCGGTTACGGTCAGGTCCTTGCCATCAGATACTCTCCACAAGGCGACAAATTCGCGAGTGGCGGGGAGGACAACTTCAGCATGATCTCTGTGTGGTCAAACAATGGCGAACTGCTCATCCAGACCAAGGGACATGAACATGGAGTGACATCGTTGTGTTGGCCCAAGGACGGTGCATACATCTTCTCTGCATCATTCGATTGCACCATCAGAAAGTGGCAGTCGATTGATGGGAAGGAGGTCACGGCTTTTCGAGCTCATGCCTTCGGCGTAAGCTCCCTCTGTCTTTCTTCAGATACATGTTATCTTATTAGTGCAGCAAGGGACTTCTCAGTCCGCATTTGGGACCTCAAGACCAATGAGTCAATTGGAGACCTACTCTTGCATAACAATGAACTCTTGACTGTTGCCGTATCCCCTGATGGAAAATTCATTGCAAAAGCCGGAAAAGACGCGAAAGTCTAGATATGGAGCATGGGGCCAATGCTCAAACAGCAGGGTCTTGACTATGTGGATGTGTCCATATGTTGTCAGCGTCTTTTTCTAAGTACATTTGGCGGTCATCTAGCATGCGAATGATGCAAAGCCCAACGCGAAGCTCAAGGCAGATCATACATCCTTCCCTTCCGCGCTGTCTCACTTCTTCACTAGGGACGTGCAGCCCGACCGAGAGATGTACGTCAGTCTGTTGTGAATAGCCTCGATGATCCTTCGCTCATTCGTCTCGTTCGATTCATTCATTTTTTTGATGCCCATGACCTCCAAGCAGCAGCCCAACAACAGAGGCTTGGCGAGATATGTCCGTATGGTTTTCGTTCCTGAGTTCTTCGAGTTATCCTTACACTGATACAGGGAGATGACTTCTGGGGTACCAGTACAAACTACGCACCACATCACACAGCTCCTCCTGCGAGCCCATCATCTCCCCTTCATTGGCGCAGTTTGCTAGGCTCCCTGCGTTTCACTACTTGATCTGCAAACACATCGCAATCAATCTTGCCGCGCGAGTCTCGGCATTGGAATTTCAGCCCGTTTCTTGTGGGACCATCCAGACGCACTGTCAATGCAGCGCCTGCTCGCGATGAAGATGTAAGTGACGAGTTGCCATTACTTCTATTCAATGTCATTGAAACCAATACGTTTGCAGAGATACAGCATTGCCCCTCCCACTGAGGCGGAAGTGGCTGCCACTATGCAACGTACAAGTGCCAATGAGGCTAACAGTTCAATGCAACAAGGTCATCCTGCACCTGGGACGCAAGGGCCTGAAGCACCATCAACAGAAACACAAGGCTCGGGTGGTGGCACGGGAGAATTTTATTGTGAAGTTAGGTGCTGCGAACTGTTCTTTAGTTGTGGTCGTCCCAGATCGCATTAGTTGTGAGGGTTTTTTTGCTTCGCAGTCCACGGGTCCGTTTGGGTCATAGACCCTATGTTGGATATACAGTACATAATTGATTAGCGGAGGTATAAAACTGCAAGCAAACCCATTGACATCGAGACTCTCACAAGTCAGTAAATAGGTACCTGCATGTGGAGAATTCAGACATTTCATCATCTCCTATACATATTACAGATTCGGACGAGGCATTCATGAGAAAACCCGACTTAAGATCCCTGCAAATCTTCTGGTCTGTTTAGTAATCTCCCCTCCATCCCACCTTCAACCATCACTACTTGACCAGTGACATGACCGGAGAGAGCGGATGATGCAAGGACCACAATCTGCGTTGCGACGTCGATTGGCATCGCCACCTTCTTAAGCGGGCACCTGCAGTAGCACGAAATTCGATACAGATAATGAATCATGATGCATAAAGACGTGACTGACGTAGATAATATACGATACACTGTTTGAGGATCCTTCAAGGCTTCTTCAGCCATGGGTGTCTTGACCCAGCCAGGCGCAATACAGTTGACTCTGCCTTTGGGGGCTATCTTCACGATCTCATTCTTGAGAGTGAGGTTTAAACCGTACATCATTGCTACAACATGATGAGTCTATGTCAAACTGCGGACAGAATCGTCACTGACCGCTCTTCGTCGCAGAGTAGTCGCCGTGATTGGCTTCGCCATACTTCCCAGCGGTACTTCCGATAAGCACAATCGCCGCCTTTTCCTTGATAGTAGAGGGTGCACGTTCAAGGTGCTTCAAATACTCTCTACACACCAGGAATGATGACGTCAAGTTCGTGGTTATGGTGGTGTTCCATTGGTCCAGCGTCATCCTTGCGATTGGAACATCCAAAGTTGGATATATAGCGTGATTGACGATCACTACTTGTACGGGTCCATGGGGCATAGCAGCTAGCGACTCGAACATGGCCACCACGGCCTCCTCTTGAGACAGATTGGCCTGGACGTGTTGAAGACTGGGGTTCGATGCCAGAAGCTCCTGGATCGGACCAAATTTGGAGTTATAATGTGCGGTCACATTCGCGCCCAATGCTGAATGTCTGATTCAACTCAATAGTCATCACTCGAGAGTAAATTACTTACCACAAAATAATTTCAGTCTCTAGCCCGATGCCGCCACTTGCCCCTGCTCGAGTACACGGTCAGGTCAGTAGTGGCATAGGATAGCATAGAGTACGACCTGTAACGATGACATGCACTCCTTGCAATCCAAGATCCATGACGTGCTGCAATGCTAGCGCTGAACGTTGACTTGGATAACGGATGATAACAGCTTCAGTAGCCAATTGAAATGTTGACGTGTGAACAATTCAATGGTACTCATGTAGCTGGTACCATTGATTGGACAGGTGACCATCGATTATGAAGCGTGTGTTATATGGGCGCTTCAATTGCGCTCGCTTCAAAAAAGTCTGGCAGGCTTCACTGACGCACGTGATATGAGCAGTACTTGCAGTGGCAGTGCTAAGGTTGCCGGTCACTTGCCCAGTGCAGTCGCTGGTCACACTAGGACTCTGACTCTGCACCGAACACCAACCAATGATTCGAGGCTGTTTGAGTGGAGTGTACGACGAACGTAGATAATCACTGCTGACGATATACTCTATTCCTTTTGAAGACAGGCCCATAAAAGCTCTAGCCTCTGACACTGGTTTTAGTCTTAGTTTCAGGCAGACCGCCGATGCCGACCGTTACGATGACGATGACAACTGTCTTGACGCCGGACATGCTGCCTCATAAGCCGTCTAGCAAAGGTTCGCCGTCGACGGAGGCAACGCTACAATCACTGTACAACCGTGCAGCGAGAGCATTCCTTCACCGGGACATTACAATCACGTTCACCTTGTTAAGCGCTGCATTCGCGCTCCTCTCACCTCCCCTTGCGCCCTCACCTGATCCCCTAGATGTCCACCGGAGAAAGTGGGATATCCTTCGCATCACCCTCGAAACCACCGTCTTCTCTTCTACTCAAGACATAGCTTCATTTACCACAACCACTCCAAGAGATCCTACTCTTGTCTCCCCAATCGTTTATTTCCACTTTGTATGCTCGATCTCTCACTTTATTTACTCCTTCATCTCTGTATCGAAAACCTAGCTCCGCATTCCTTCCGCACCAAGTCCTCATCACACTCGTCGCATCCAGTATCAAGATAGATTGCCTAAGCGTTGGTCGTGAGATGACAGAGGACTGGCTATCAAAACGCGGTCAATATGACTTCGTACCTTCTACGGGTGAACCATATCATAGAGTCCTAGAACTTTATTGCTTGCATGTCTTACCTCGTTTGGGCGAGTGGGAGTACGTCAAAGAATTTCTGTCCTACGAGAATGAACTCTCGTCTGACGAAAAACGCGTGAGTTTAATTTCATGATCCTTGTATCGCACTGAACACAATATTGTCAGGAACTTCATCTGGCCCTCGAGGCTCAGCATGCTCACGCGTTAGAGAGTACAAGGCGGGAGACGTCAAAACCCGAGACTCCTCCGTCTCCTACACCAATACCTCCACTCCGCTCTCTATCCCCAGCCTCTTCTTCCTCTTCTCTATCCACTACATCTACCCGCACCGCCATGCCAGCATCCCCTCTTCCAAAACTTACCCGCCAACAATCCGCGTCCTCCACATCAGCAGTCTCAGACTCCACCGTAACCAGATCCCCTCGCCACCGCCACAACCAAAGCATGCCCCGAGGAAGCTCAAGTGCTAGTGGCGTTCGCATCTCCCGCGTTCTGCCAGTCGACCATAGTCTCGCGACTGCACCCCCAACCTCCCTAACACTCATACGATCTTATTTCAACCGCTATTTCACTGCAAACAGAATAGCCACCCTATCAGTCTTGCTCTTCCTAATTCCCCTTATATCTTTGATCCTTCGGAGGCGGCGGCGCTTGGAGACACCTGCGGACTTGGTACGGAGAAGGTTATTGGAAGCCCGTGGCGATTCGATTGCGACACAGTTATAGAATGAGTTGGTGAGGGCAGTTTTGGATACTGTTAGGATGGGTGGTGGGGGACTCGTATAACTCACAGTGCGCCTGCTTAGTATCAATCTTCTTAGCTAGACCAAGTAGAAGGATATTGGTATCAGGCCATAGGCCATGTAATTATACATAGTGATCTTTCAAGTGATTCGAACTTTATATTAACAGCTGGCGTTCTGTGCAACCGTGGAGGCGCTAAAATCCTGAATGTGCACGTTTGGAGCAGACATATTATCGAGCCAGTGAATAGTATGTGAGGCAATAAATGCACCACTTCATCTGCTCAGAGAGGTCGTATTGAAAAAACTCTTGCGCTGATCCGAAATAAATCAGACGCAACATAATGGCATCGATTGCAAAGTGCACAGACAATACCGAGTTGCTCTGCATGTCATAGACTATCAGAATGATGCTGGAGCACTGAGCTGCAATGCTTCCCGTGCAGCTTCCCTCTTCGCAGCCTCCAGCGTCCACATCCACTTCAAATCGCGCTCGACCTCTTCCTTCCTCACGCGTTGCCTTCGCTCGTTCAAATAACTCCAATCTTCCCCAACACCTATGTCAGCTGCCGCGACCCGAGGCTATCCTAGTAATTCCGACTTCGAGAGTGTAGAGACAGGCAAAGGCTTAGGTGGAGGGGGGGCGTCGTCGTTCTCCACAACCAAGTGTTTCTCGGTGCAGCGAGCAATACAGCCTATTCCTTCCGCGCAGCTTTGCGCACCATATGAAGCCGGTGGTCAATTTCTGCTTGCGGGAGCGTTCGCTTGGTGCAGAACGTTTCAACCTTCCTCGCATTTACTAGGCCCGGGAGCCTCTCAAATGCCTGTGTTATGAGACTGAGTGCGTCGACCAAGACCTATATCGATGTCGACTCACTGTAGAGACCATACAGGATGCTCTGGATGGGGCGGTCGAGTAGAAGGTAGCCTTGTTGTTCCACGCACGATAGTTGGATGCTCTTTCTTCGGTACACCGTGCTCTGGCGACTCATTAAAAACAACTTGAATCGCTGTCTGTTTCAAAGCCAGATTGTGAGTGTCTTTGGTCGAAAATGACGTTGTCGATGAAACTATGCTGCGCCGAAGGCAAGCAATGGCGTAGCCGGATTTGTTCGACTCATCAGGGAATGGCAGCCATGACTTTGACGTGCAAGAATTGGGCTCAAGCAATCTGCTTACGAAGTAGAGCTGATCACGGTCAAATTGACGGTCCAGCACGGGCTTACCCAAGTGAGCACCGCTACCGCATCAGGAGACACAGAGTTCGCCACTTAATTCTCAGTGCACATGTGGAAATACTGGCAAGTACAAAACAGAAGACGACGAAAATGGCTCGAAAACGCTACCGTGAACGTACCTAGAAGTCTAGAGACTAGAGTAAGTAGTACATGTTAACTAGTGCACCTCTAAGTACAGTACATCAGTCAGTCAGACAACCGTAAATTCAGGTTCGGTGCTGGGTATAGAAATTGACAAGGAATCAAAGAATAAAACGGTGCACTTGATGTTGCAGCAATAAAATGATTGTTACGTGGAGCTAGAAGTCCTGATATTAGCAACTGCAAGGACATACGACAAGGACTAAGAACTCACGCATCTCGGCAACTCGACCAGTGTGTCCCATGTGCCATGCGGCTCAAATCAAGCTCGGGATGTCCTCTGGGTATCACCAATGAAGTCCAAGGAGTATAAAATGGATGTCGGGAAGCGGGAGGTACCCAGAAAAGAAGCCGATGATGAGATCCCATAATCCATCCATCAGCCTGCAGCAAGAAAGGGGTTGAATTGGAATTATGATAAGAAGTAGGTTCGAGCAGGTCAGCGGGGTTGGGCAGGGCGTGTCCTTGGCTGGACGAGAAAGAAATGACGTGATCGTTACAAGTGCTGGTGGGCATGATACGGCTTTGTTGGGTGGGAGGTGTAGTGCTTTGATGCAGTGAAAATGAGGAAGAATCTGGCTCGCTGGACATGGGGGATAGCTGCACCTTCACTGCATCCCACAGCTGCACAGTGTTATCTGCCGAACCAGACGTGATACGAGTGCCATCCGGTGAGAATGAGACTGACCAAACCTCCCTAGTGTGTCCCTCCAAGGGCTCACCGAATGGCCGTCCCATGATTGCATCCCACACCCGCACAGTCTTATCCAAAGAACCAGACGCGATGCGAGTACCATCCGGTGAGAACGAGACTGACAAGACCTCACTAGTGTGCCCCTCCAAGGGCTCACCCAATTGCTGTCCCGTGATTGCATCCCACACCCGCACAGTGTCATCCGAAGAACCAGACGCGATGCGAGTACCATCCGGTGAGAACGAGACTGAGTAAACCTCTCTAGTGTGCCCCTCCAAGGGCTCACCCAATGGCTGTCCCGTGATTGCATCCCACACCCGCACAGTCTTATCCAAAGAACCAGACGCAATGCAAGTACCATCCGGTGAGAACGAGACTGACCAAACCTCTCTAGTGTGCCCCTCCAAGGGCTCACCCAATGGCTGTCCCGTGATTGCATCCCACACCCGCACAGTCTTATCCTGTGAACCAGATGCGATGCGAGTACCATCCGGTGAGAACGAGACTGACAAGACCTCACCAGTGTGCCCCTCCAAGGGCTCACCCAATGGCTGTCCCGCGATTGCATCCCACACCCGCACAGTCTTATCCGAAGAACCAGACGCGATGCGAGTACCATCCGGTGAGAACGAGACTGACAAGACCTCACTAGTGTGCCCCTCCAAGGGCTCACCCAATTGCTGTCCCGTGATTGCATCCCACAGCCACACAGTGTTATCCTCCGAACCAGACGCGATGCGAGTACCATCCGGTGAGAACGAGACTGAGTAAACCGAACTAGTGTGCCCCTCCAAGGGCTCACCCAATGGCTGTCCCGTGATTGCATCCCACACCCGCACAGTCTTATCCAAAGAACCAGACGCGATGCGAGTACCATCCGGTGAGAACGAGACTGACAAGACCTCACCAGTATGCCCCTCCAAGGGCTCACCCAATTGCTGTCCCGTGATTGCATCCCACACCCGCACAGTCTTATCCAAAGAACCAGACGCGATGCGAGTACCATCCGGTGAGAACGAGACTGACAAGACCTCACCAGTGTGCCCCTCCAAGGGCTCACCCAATGGCTGTCCCGTGATTGCATCCCACACCCGCACAGTCTTATCCAAAGAACCAGATGCGATGCGAGTACCATCCGGTGAGAACGAGACTGACCAAACCGAACTAGTGTGCCCCTCCAAGGGCTCACCCAATGGCCGTCCCTTCATTGCATCCCACAGCCGCAGTGTTATCCCTTGAACCAGACGCGATGCGAGTACCATCTGGTGAGAACGAGACTGACTCAACCAAACTAGTGTGCCCCTCCAAGGGCTCACCCAATGACCGTCCCTTCATTGCATCCCACAGTCGCACAGTGTTGTCCGCCGAACCAGACGCAATGCGAGTACCATCTGGTGAGAATGAGACTGAGCAAACCCAACTAGTGTGCCCCTCCAAGGGCTCACCCAATTGCTGTCCTGTGATTGCATCCCACACCCGCACAGTCTTATCCTGTGAACCAGATGCGATGCGAGTACCATCCGGTGAGAACGAGACTGACAAGACCTCACTAGTGTGCCCCTCCAAGGGCTCACCCAATGGCTGTCCCGTGATTGCATCCCACAGCCGCACAGTCTTATCCGAAGAACCAGACGCGATGCGAGTACCATCCGGTGAGAATGCAACTGATCGAACCACATCAGTGTGCCCATTGATTACGATCTGAACAACCGTCCAGTTCAAATCACGGACCGCATGCCAGACGAAGGTTATTCGGAAACCTTGACGTGAATTTGGTAGCCATGGCGGAGTTGACCGGCGAGAATGGGAGCCCTGATAAATACAGATGTGGCGTGCTGTGCAAAATCATGCTGCCAAACACTTGCATGAATCTTTGTACATCCATCGTGGTCGTCCACAAATCTTCGTATCCAGAATGGCCCTGTATTTATGTCATGAGCTGCTCATCCGACACTGACTCGCAGGCATGTGCTCACCTTCAGCCACTTGGCAACGAGTGGAAGCACAATAATTGCACCCCTGATTGCATTGAGAAGTCCGAGTGCTTCGATCCAGAAGAGCAGTCGCTCGTCGTCGAAAAATGATCTGGTCGCCTTTGCAAGCTCATCGTCGAAGTCGTGCTTTGAACGTGAGTAGCCCAGAATCGACAGGAATAGGATAGATGTGGGGAAATGGATGTTTTGACTCGTTGAGCCAGTCCGTTATCCTCGCGATTAGGGAGGTATGACGACTTTAAATCACATATATTGAAGCGAAGGCCATGTTCCATCACTCGAAGTGATGCCAACGCTAAGTCGTGGTGTTGCGCCTTCGTCACCTCGACAAAAAAGTCTCCGCTGGATGGTTCATGGGTGAGGAACTCTTGGAAGGATGCGTGAAGGGGTTTGACGGGGATGTGTGAGTCTGTTGTGCCGCTGAGGAGGGATCCCATATGTTGTATGATGCCTACATTGTAATGATTGTTGTGGTTTGGAAAACATTCCCGCATGGCGTTGAGGGAATCGAATGGGAGGGGTTCAGCCGTGCTAAGAATTTGTCCTATCACGGAACGAAACTCCGCTAGTGCTTCCTGGTACTCATCATCGCATACCTATCTCGTGGCAAGATGTCTGTCAAAATAAGCCGATACATATCGTACAACTTGTCTGTCCATTTCCCAGGATCGCGGTTCACGACAGTTTCAAAGCGAGATCTTGGATTTATGCTGGGAAGGTCTTCCTGGATGTATTCGCATGCAAGACGTGCCCACTCGAAAAGTCCATCGGCTTTCGTAGCGAGTTTTGCAAACTCTTTGTCTCCAAAACGCGACAACACTTTTAGTTTGTCAGATACAAAAGCACGGATGTCGCGCTCCGCCACTGCTGTTGGAATCTCGTCCATCGATAACTGTAGAATATGCTGAGCGCCGTGAAATGCATCTTCGATGTCACGAAGTGGGCGAGAGGTGACGAGAATCCGAAAGTTGGATGGGAGTTCTGTGATTTGGGGAAGACCTTTGTTCCGAAGTTTACTGCCAAGTATGCGGAGAAGGTCCCGCCGCGTCTCCACTCCGCCGCTCTCGTCCAGCGCTTCGATCACGATCAACACAGGTTCCACACTTGACCTAGAGGATTTCTTCAGCGGTTCCACAAGAAGCTTCTCCCACTGCTGGTAAACATCCTTCGAGTTCTTGAGTGAGGTGGAATCTTTGACCGCATCTGCCAATGCTCGTCTCATCTCCGGATCATGATCAGCTAGGTCACGAGCGATGGTGGAGAAAACCTTTTCATGGCGTTCCTCGGTCTTGTCGAAGCAGAAACATGAACCCAGCACCCCCATGTCGCTGAACCACTTTGCAATCGTGTGAGCGATGGCCGATTTGCCCGTGCCAGCGGGGCCAGATAGCCAAAGCACTCGTTGGGTAGCGTCTTCATTGCCGTTGATCCAATCCGTGATCTGGGAGAGAATCTCCGTGCGCGTCCCTGGTAGGCATTGCTTCATGGTATTGAGTCCTGCGCCCTTTGCATAAGCGATATCCCCGAGATCCAGGGTATCGCCTGAATCGGTGTGAGTGAATGTAAAGATAGAAGCACGTCAGAATCCTTACCCGTACGTTGGACGAAGACGGCCACGTCCCTGTCAACCTGGTCACGGAATTGTTGTACAAGGCCGTCCAAAGTGTCGCTGTATTTTTTGATGATGGCATCGGTTTCCGAGAGAACGTTTTTCCCAAGTCTCTTCCCTACGATAATAGGATGAGATTGATGTGCGAAGTGCGATAGCTTGGTGACTCACAAAAGCTCTTTGTCTCCGAGTAGTCCCTGATGAAACGAGCGCACTCAAGAGTCTGCTGAACGATCTTCCCAACGATACCGCGCATCGATTCAATTTTGCGAAGACTGTCGTCTTGAATCATGAAGCGGTAAACTTCAGCCAACTTCTTGAGAAGACTATGGACCGATTCGTCGCGCTCTGCTTGAGCGATTATGATCTGCGTGAAATTATGACTTCTGAGTAGGAGACCGACTCTTGAAGAAACCGGACGCACTTTGGATGCAGCAGACAGCACACCCAGCGCCATCTTTGCGTACGGATGCACCTATATAACTTGATTAGTTCGCTCCCAATCAACAAGAATGTCCCATACATCCGCGATCTTCTCAAGGACAGCATCAACAATCTTTAGGGGTTGGATATACGTCGTCTCAAAATCATCCGCAGCAGCGAGACCCGCTGGGGCCTTGTTGGCGGCGGATGCCATGGAAGCCGCATGTCCTCCGAGCGGTCTCATAGTTTCCGCACCATCACAGGCACCCTGAAGTTCAGCATCAGCTAATTGGAGATCAGGTCCTTCTTCCTCGCCAGTAGGAGCAGCCTGAACCTGTGGGATCCCCGAAATTAGAGAAGAAGGTCAAATTATTTGACGAAAATACCTGTGAAGCAGGCTCTCTCGACAGTACTTGGTTCACGGAGTCGCCGGGAATCTCAGATGTGGTGGGACGCTTGTTGTTGTTGGAAGGATGGAGATGCAGCGTGTCCTGGGCGCCTCTAAGAAAACCGAAGGACTAGGACGGCAAGTAGAAGCACTTACCTCGACTTTCTGACCCGATGAAGCCCCTTCGGTTTCAACGTTCTGGACCGCAGTGGTGAGGTTGCTTGTTCGCTTGAAGCGTTTCTGCACGATATCAGCCGTATTCATGACAGTCAGTATTCACGTCCACGCACAGGAAGTTTTTTGGCTAACGCATTCTTCAATCTCCGCAGGGACCGACAGATTCCTCTACGAGGTTGGTTCTGGACGAAAAATGCATAAGGGCAGCGATGAGTTTCAGAGACCACATACCGAGTTTTCAGCAACATTTGCCCGGATGGATCTGGAGGCTCCTGGAGGAGAATCTGGCCTATGGTCTTCACTCATAGCGAGTGGTCGTAGATCAGTATGAATAAAACCGTGGGGGGAAATGAGAAGAGTGTGAGAAGGGGACAGGCGTCTAATCCTTTGGCAGAGCCGGGGCCGAACGTTAGAAGCATGGCCAGCACATTGACTTCAAGCGCGCTGACCATTCCGAGCCACGCAATTTGCATCGGTTCATAGCGGCAGGTTATTGTGTGCACATCACAGTGCAATGAAGAGAGATGCACAGGTGAGAGAGCTCCGTCTACTCCAGAGTCGAATTATATAGCACCCCCTTGAAGTTCAACAGGTCTGGTGCTGTCAAAGTGCAAGTCAGTCTCGGCGAGCCTGGACTGTTCGAACTTCAAACTTCAAGCACAAGACGAGACCTGTGCACAGTATGAGACAATGGTGCTGATATTTATGAGACGGTTCTGCTGCGAGTAATGATATCATGAGTTCACTGACTCAGGCTGCAATTGGACTACCAAGTCCGTCTTATGATCGAGTGACGTAACGATTCAACGCGCGGGAAGGGAAGTACGCGCGTATGGACCTGCTGCAGACTCTTCACTTCCACATGGGCACAGAGACTTGCCAAGGTCGCCGCTTTTTATGCACTCCGAGGGCTTTTGATTCCAAAACCATGCAAATTGCCATTGGGTGTGAAGAATGTCGTCGACAGTCTTTAAATTGAGTCATTCGATGCATCAGGCAAATTATGATATGAACCTTGACGTGTACCTTATCCTACCGCTCATTGCAAGCTAGCACCTGGTCCTGTGGTTGTTCACTACGACTTCATGCTCTTATCATCACCTCCATCGACATTTCACGGGCCTACCAACATCTGTAATCAGCCAAGACCATCGCTTTTCAACTTGAAAGTGTTTCACTCACCATACCATGCATGCAGCTGCAGTCATTTCATCTCTACTTGCCATCGCTCAGCTCCAACTTGCGTACGCCATTCGTGCCTTCGTCCCGCATTCACTCTCATCCTGATTGCAGCACCAATGTTGTCGCCGTCATTTTGCTTTGTGAGATCTCATACGGCCCCAAAGCTACAAGCGATCTCTGAAGTTCTGGGCCGCATCATTTCTGATCTTGTGGACCGACTATCTATCAAAATCTATACTATTTAAATGGCAAATCCGTCGAGGTAGACAACACGGATGATGAAGGTCGCCTGGTGCTGACTGGTGCGTATCCTTCCTGTTCCCTGACGTGGCAAACTCTGACTTTCTCCAAGACCCGTTCTACTACGCCTGCATAGCAAGAGCTGCAGGAGAACAGGATTACATTACATATTAACACAGAGCAAGCTGTACACAGAACATGGCCAAGCAGGAGACGAGCAATATCAGAATGCTGATGCAATACATGAATTGACTACGTCCACTCCAGATGTGATGAAACTCGCCGCGGCCTTTCTAGCACAACCAATTCCAGAAAATTTTTCAGCATCCATGCGCTTTGACGCTCTCGGTATCCCGCTCCGTATAGATCAACGCTCTCCTGGTCCTCTCCATCGATGTGGCCGTGTGCATATCCTGGTCGTCCAGCTTGCCTAGATGACAGTGCCGAGTTGTTCCGAGCTGTGGCTTCGCAGGTGATTATGCCTAACGTCAATAGACGCCTGAGCCAAGCCTTCCTGAGTCGACACTGACTGTAAATAGGGCTGGCACCACTAGAGGACTGAGCCGTCATTGTCCAACGTGGACGTGAAACTACAGTCCTCCTGAAATACGTCACTGAAAGGTAAGGCCCGATATGCTGAACGTACCCTTTTGGGTTGTGTGGTCGCTACCTCGACAACACGTCGAGTCGACGTTGCGGTGTGGGGCCGAGGGTGCCGAATGTGCATCCAAACATTGCCAACAGGTGGAATACACTGTTCCCGACTGGCAGATCTTGAGGATCTGCTGAGCTTCCCTTACAGTGGACAACTCGCCCCGGGAGATCGAGATGACGAATCAGTCTCCATGTTTTCAGAAGAGGTAGGATACGCCGTTCCCGGCTGGTGGTCCTTGGAAGGCTTGCTGATCAACAGAGTTTGCTAAGGGTCCGGGTCCAAGTCGTATCTAATAAATCAATTTTAGCATATACTTGAATTCGAGTCTGGGACGTCTTACAGGGCGACCTGTCGCACTGCCAGAAGGATGTGACGGTTGATCGAAGAACCCCGGGTTGAGTCCCAACGAACGTTGTTTTCCTTTGGTTCTGAGGGTAATCGTTGTAGGAAACTGTTTCGTGTCATGAGTTTAGTGTTCTACCATAAACCTGGATCTCACATTAAGGAGGCTAGAATCATTCTTGCCTCTTGAATAACTTAAACGCGGTATTGATACACCGCACCTGTTACCAAATCAGGTAATCTTAGGCCAATGGTGCCCAGACCCACTTACCGCGACAGCTTCAAGCAATTCTATTTGCAACGATGGCAGCTGCTTCAGAGGAGCAACCAGAAACAAGAGGCATCGCAAAGAAAAACGTGAGCTTCCAAACCTTCCTTATCAATCCGTGAAGGCAACTTTACATTTCAGCATGGGACACCGATGACATCGACCAGTGAGCATTAATATTGCCCGCATGTCAGTTAAAACCACTTCTCACCGTACCTCCTCTCCAGTGTGAGCACCCAAATCACACATGCTTTAACACGTACTCAACTCTACTCCAGTGGAAAATCGATTCATTCCAAGCAGATGACAACAAAGGCGGCGTATTCACCGAAAAATCTTCTTTCGCAACCCTTTTCCCAAAATACAGGGAGAAGTACTTGAGGGAGGTTTGGAGCGCCGTGACTAAAGTTCTAGACGCCCATGTGAGTGCTCACATCCATTTCCTTCACAACACCATCGAGTTAGCATCAAGGGTATCGCATGCACACTAGGGCTCCGTGAAAAACTACCCACGGACTTAACGACGAGTTTTTAACTCACCCCCACCCTCGAGGGGTTTTTGACATGAGTTAAAAACTAGTTTTTGACCAGTTTTTGACACTCAAAAAAATGCGTTTTTTTCAGGTCATTTTGACATTTTTTCGCTACGGTACGTCGGTAATGCAAATGCCCACTGTACAGGCCCTCCCGGAGGCGTTGGAACTGTGCTATCCTGTAGTTGAGGTGTCCTACTTGCCCCTTCCACCGGCTTCTCTGATAGTAAGTCCAACAATCGAGGAGCATCAAGATGAGCATCCTCGCTACCCACAAGTACTCTCGTATCACAAGACCTGTACATTGGATCATGCTCAATCTCTGGGCGCAGCGCGGAATCAGGAAACTCGTTGAGGGCAGCCGTTAGGACATCAACGACTGCAACAAGACCTGGCCCACGCTCTTGAAACTCGAACGGACATGGTGCCAACTCATCCTTCCGGCCCCTGGGTGCAAACGTGACCTCGAGCACATTATTCAGTGCGGCTTCGGTACTGCCATAGAGTTCAATCCTCTCCGGATCTGGAGCATAGTGCTCAAAATTATATTTGGAGTTTCCGAGGGGGATACTATGTGGAAGTTGTGCGAGTGCCGTTCGGAGGTGGCTCAACTATGCGTTGTTGCGCCCAATGTCCTCGAAAGAAGCTCATCAAGGTAAATTTTTGTTGCAATCATTGAGCCGAACGCTCAATTGGACAGTAGTTGACAGATCGTCGGTCATATCTTAACAATTTTTCGGTGATTTCGGATGTTCAGATGGAGAATTCGATAGGCTATGTTCCCGGGATCATATACATATATATATTAGTTTTTGACGAGTTTTTGACACCCCAATATCAACCCCAAGTTATCGACTCGTTAAAAAACACGTTAAAAACCTGTCAAAAACTCCAACGTCAAAACTCGGTAGTTTTTCACGGAGCCCTAATGCACACTGGACCTAGTTCACGGATCGATGTCCGTCCGGACAACACGCAAAACATTCGATCCATACATCATCCTCAAAGCGAGAGACCTCATCAAACTACTCGCAAGAGGGGTTGCGATCACTCAGGCTCAGAAGGTACTACAGGACGATGTGGCTTGTGATATCATCAAAATTGGGAATCCGGTTCGTAACAAGGACAGGTTTGTGAAACGGAGACAACGGATCATGGACCGGATGGGAGTACGTTGAAGGTGAGCGTTGTATAGTTTTGACTGTGCGCATGTCGTTGACTTTTTCAGGCTATTGAGCTTTTGACCCAGTGCTACATTCTTGTACGAGGGAATACCATCAGCGTCATGGGTCCGTACAAATCACTAAATAAGTCCGATGATAGTCCTCGATTGCATGAAAAACATACATCCC